CTGCTGATGGCCCGAGACTGCTCTGAACTCTTTCAGAGATAGGGGACCCAAGAAATGAAGCTGTAATGCAGCCCTCTGCCTCGATCAGATACTGGAGAACCAGCCCTACTGGGGAAGTGGGGGCTGTCATCCTTACAGGACGGACCACCGTCCTCAGGGGCGTTTCCTTGCTACTCTTCCTCCTGCGGAAAGAGGAGGTTGACACTTAGGGTCAATACCTCCAAGTCACTCAGACACACTTCACATTTAGGTCTTTTTTTTTTAAATTGATTAATTTATTTGTTTATAAAAATTTCCACTTCCTCCCCTCCTCCCCATATCCTCCTATTCCCCCCACTCCCTCTCCCCCCCCACTCCCTCTCCTCCTCCCTTTCCAGTCCTAAGAGCAGTCAGAGTTTCCTGCCCTGTGGGAAGTTCAAGTTCCTCCCCTCTCCCTCCAGGTCTAGGAAGGTGAGCATCCAAACAAACTAGTAGCCCAAAAAGCCAGTACATGCAGACAAAACAAGACCCAGTGCCATTGTCGATGGCTTCTCAGTCAGCCCCCATGTCAGCCACATTCAGAGACTCCAGTTTGATCACATGCTTGTTCAGTCCCAGTCCAGCTGGTCTTGGTGAGCTCTCATTAGATCAGTCCCCTTGTATCAGAGGGTGAACGCACCCCTCGCGGTCCTGACTTTCTTTTTCATGTTCTCCCTCCTTCTGCTCCTCATTTGGACCTTGGGGGCTCAATCCAGTGCTCCAATGTGGGTCTTCGTCTCTATCTCCATCTATCGTCAGATGAAGGTTCCCTCTGGTCCAGCCTTTCTTGCTCACGTTCTCCCTCCTTCTGCTTCTCATTTGGGCCTAGGGAGTTAAGTCCAGTGTTCCAATATGTGTCTCTGTCTCTATCTTCATCCATCGCCAGATGAAGGTTCTGGGTGAAAGCCCTCCGATGTATGTCCGCCAGGGGCCTCACATTTAGGTCTTGTTGCCATGGTTATCCTGGACATACCCTCTGGGCTTGCTCCTTCTCTGCTCTTGGTTTAACTGGCTACCAATGGCTCCAAGTCAGCTCTTGACATATGGTTTGCCTTGGTCTAGCCATACGCATTCTCTAAAACTATGACCTGTCCTTTTCCCATGAGGGCTGGACGAACACAAGGCTCAATGAAAAAAAAGTCAGGTTATTACTTTGCTTTTCATTAGTTTTGTTGCTGGTAGTGTTTTTGGCAGCCTAGCCACCTGTTATTAATATCTTAATATTTACATAATACTTCCTGGTGAACCCAGCTACTTGGTATCTTACATTTTGGAAACACTCCAGGAACAAGGCTTGAAGCACCCTGCCTCCTGTGTATAATTCCCACTTAAATGATGCAATGCTTATTTTACATTTAATGAATTCAACGAAGCAAGGGCTTTGGGGGCAGAGACTCTGCAATTCAAATACTGATCCAATTGCTTTGCCAGTCTTAATGTATTTATTACTATAGCTCAGTTTGTTTTTAAAAGTACCTTTACTATTTTAACATTCTTTTTGAAATGTAAAACAATAGCTATGAGAGAACCAAGAAAAGGAGGACTTCTGTTAACGTCTGAAACAAAAATTAAATGTGGACCAACACATCAGCCATATTAGGAACAGCAAGACTAAAGGGATGATGAGAATTTGGGGAAAAGAGCAATTTGGACAAGAGTCCTTTTCAGTCTTTCAATCCCAAGTCTGGATTTTATTTTACTGCAGGAGATTCCGCTGTACACAGTGCTCTGGCCTCTGTTGACAGTACCATGCTTTACCCAGGGAGCCTTGGTGAACCCACCCCATGTGGCTTTATTCTCAGCTACAGAGCTGGTGTTCCTCAACCCACATCGTAATGCTGGTCTGTAATGATTTTGTCCCATGCAGTGGATGAGCAAGGTGTGTGTTATCCGGCTGCCCAGCAGCCTGTGGTGTTCCAGCCCTGCTCCATGCTCTCTGTTCTGCTTCTCTCCAGGGGGAAGGGAGACTCTGTAAGTAGTGACTGACATGTCCTGGAGCCAAGGCTTAGTTTTTCTAGAGAGTGCTTTGGGACAAACCACGGCTCACTTCAGTTTTCCTCCTGAAAGGGGAGTAAGAGGAACTTTCTAGATAGGAGCAATACGATGCTGACATTGGGCACGGTCGTTCACAAGGGGCTTTCAGGATTACTTCATTTTATGTTCACTGCTTTCCAGGCTGACAGAGGAGTTAGCCCCATCTCTGTGTACACATAAGGAAACGAGGGGCCCAGCAGCTACCTAACAGGCCCATGGTCACATGACAGGACGGAGAACCTAGACCAGACACTGCTCGGGGCACAGCCATCCGTAGCTGTCTTGCTTTCCTCCCTCATGACTGAGTCTGTCTCCAGGCTCTCGGCTCTCACTCAGGCTCTAAGCTATCAGCTTCTGACGACAAACTGTGATAACGGATACACATTAGCTAAACAGAACCCTTCTTCCCACTTCCCCTCTACAGCCCTTCCTCTCGCTGCTCAAGAATCAGACACAGTCTGATGGTAAGCACAAAAGATCCTGCTGGCTGGCCACGTCCAGAACGTCACTGTCTCTGTAGTGGACATTTAATAGATTAAAACATTAAGTTTTAATTAGTCTCTGTCAATGATACTAGAAGTTTACAAAATAAGGAAAGCAATAATAAAAACACATTTCTCTGTTACTTGGGAATGAAATTGATTCTATCCTTCTGCAGACAAGCGAATTATCACAGGAGGCCAATCTCCCATCTCCACAAACAATCTTTGTAGTGATATTTAAATTAAATTGCCTGGAAATAATCATAGTTGAAGGAAGTAGAGAAAACATCTTGAGGTGAGTCATCACTGGGGCAATGGCTGTGACATACAGTCTTGTGTTTTTGTGTCTTACAATCTCCCTTAGCTTCTTCAAGATGCATTTTTTTTTAAAAAAAAAGCAAAGTAACTATACAAAGATGGCTCAGTTTTTTATCACGGCATTTCTACAAAATATGGAAAGAATTTTAGAGTGACGTTGCATCCACTCAAACAGTTCTAAGGAAGATTTTTATTGGACAATAAAGCTTTCTCCCTTATGTTCGACGCTATTATTTATCCTTTCTTCTGTCAGAAGATACTCTGTATGAAGAGGGGAGATACAAATGCTTATTATCCAATAAAGCAATTCTAGTAAATTAAGTTCATCCAATACACATCAAATAAAGCACAGAAGACCAACAGCTCAGTGAGTGGGAAGTTACTACTCCAGCAGAATATATCTGAGACCTTCTGCATCCTGCTCAGGGCTATCTTTGGCAAAAGATGGCAACATTCCAGCCCCAAGCTTCTCTCCCAGTGTGTGGAATCTGATTTCCACGTCGCCAGCTGTCACTGGAAGCAGTTCTAAAATTCACACAGATCATCTTGCAGCTCTTCTGCTATATTCTGAGCTGATGATCCCCACTTCCGAACTGAAGCAGACCAGACATTGCTCCATTGGGATTCAGTGACACAAAAACTCCTCTACACAAAATCCAGGCACCTTCTACTTATGTAAGTGCAGAAAGAGGAAGTAACACAGGCTCTACCATGGATGCTCATGTTGCTGGGCTAGCAAGCAAAATCATTCAACCGCCAACTCGGGAGCTAAAAATAAAGAGTCCTAATTTGTTAGGTGCTTGAAAATTGGCTCTGACTAAACACAGGAAGCTGACGAGATGGATCCTTAAGATCCATTCCAATTACAAGTGAATGTGTGCTGTGCTAATCTTTGGCCTGAAGCATGCATCTAATCCAGCGCTGGCTGGTATCCAAACTTGTTCATTTAATAGCCAACATTTGTCAAGGGCTTCCCATGGACCCAGCCCTGTGTTAAGCATGTGTTAGGAGACAGAAAGTGGTACATTCAAAAGAAGGAGTCTGAAGACAGGCACAATTGACTCTATGTCTTCATGTGTGATCTCACTGTTGAAGAAAGTGGCAGGCTGGATGCTCTGATGAGTCGCAGATGGTTTATACATAAACTCTACTGAGTGCTCACATTTTCTGAAAGGTGCCCTCTGCTAAAGTGACTCTTCTCTATGACTCAGAAAAAGCAGCAGTGCACAAGGTTGAATCACACAAGGTTCTGTTTCCTGTTGTTCTTAAAACACTAAGCAACCACCATAGCTTGCAGTGTATAGTACTTTTATCACGCCTTCAAAGATCCCGTGCATTATTCCTGGCCATAGAAAGTGAATCAGGCTATTGATACCAGTTAATAGAACCAGAAATTGAGACAGGATGTCTCATGGAGCCAGCTGAAGTAAGAAAACAGTCCATGAACTAGCAATGGGAGAAAAGCGCTACCTAACCTAAGCTCAGAGATCCCACACAGTTTCGCTTGATCAAATTCATGGTAAGAACAGAATTCCACGCAGGGGAGATATAGAAAAGAATGAGAAGGCTTGGCACTTTAAAGTGTGGGAATGATGCTTGAGAAAATTCCATGGGGGATTATCTGAAGGGCTTCCACAGGGGCCAGGCTGAAAAGCAAAGCCATGCAAACCCACTGCCAGTTACAGAGCATTCTGGGAGTGGATTGGTCCTGCTTGCTATATTTTTAAGCACTGTAGTTCCGTGTAGCATGAGGGCCTGCTTTTTGGGGTTTCTGTTCTGCCTGGTTCCCACAGTCATTAGATCCCAAAGAAAATCAGACAGAGAGTCTATATTAATAATAAACTGATTATCCCATTAGCTCAGGCTTTGTATTAGCTCTTATAACTTATATTAACCCATTATTCTTATCTACGTTAGCCACATGGCTCAGTACCTTTTTTCAGTGGGGCTGGTCACATCTTGCTTCTTCCATGGTCTGGGCAGGACTGTGGAAAGAGCTTCCTTTGTCCCAGAATATTCCTGTTCTCATTGCTCTGCCTCTACTTCCTGTCTGGTTGTCCCACCTATATTTCCTGCCTGGCTAACTGACCAATCAGCGTTTATTTAAAACATAATTGACAGAATACAGAATTGTCCCACAGTTCCGAGTTCCAGCAACACTAGTTATTTTTCTTATGGTGGCAATCAGTGCCAAATCGAGTAACAAGCAAGAATTGCCTGTGGTGGGAACAAAGGAAAACTTGGCATCAACTCAGTCCAAGGTGATGAACCTAAATGAGGTCTGAGCAAGAACCTTACCTTGGTTTAGGGTCAAAACAACAAAGCTCTAGAGAACAAAGTGAAACCTTTGTTTGAAGAACATATTAAGAACATATTTATTTATGTATATAAGCATACTGTTGTCTATATATGAATCTTGTTAATGCAGGTGTCTAAGGAAGTCAGAAGAGGGTGATGGTTACAGAGGGAACCATCACCTGGGTTCCTCTGTAAGAGCATCAGGTGATTTTAGTTACTGAGTCATCTCTCTAGCCCACACACTTATAAGAGAGCTTCCTCTTCACATAGCCCCTCCATACTAGGGGTGTGTGTGTGTGTGTGTGTGTGTGTGTGTGTGTGGTACACATTCATGTGGAGGCTGGATGACAATAGTGGGTATAATTCCTCAGGCACTATTCACATCTATCCATTCATCCACCCACCCACCCATCCATCCATCCATCCATCCATCCATCCATCCATCCATCATCCATCCATCCACCCATCCTTCTTAAGATACTGTCTCTCATTGGCCTCAAACTGATCAGGTAGGCTAGAATGTCAGCTAGTCCTCTTGTCTCCACCTCCTCAGTGCTAGTGTTATAACCCTGAGCACCACACCTCTTTTACTTGAGAGTTCTAGGGGGACCAAGCTCTCCTGCTTGCCTTGCAAACTTTTTACCAACTGAACTACTTCTCTGGCCCTTATCAAATTGCTTTTGGAGATCAATATGAAAACCTGTACTTCCTTGATTTCCTCATCCACATTCCTGTCCCTAGTCTCATAAAAGACACCTCACAGCCCACATGTAAACTACCTTCACTTCCCTTACGGTCTTGGTGACTCTCATCAAGAACCTCCATCAGGTATTTTATAAGCCATCAGAGTACCTGTCAAAATACATATTCAGGGCCAGGTGGTGGTGTGGCACACGCCTTTAATCCCAGCACCCAGAAGGCAGAGGTAGGTGAATCTCTGTGAGTTTGAGGCTGGCCTGGTCTACAGGGTGAGTTTCAGGACAGCCAGGGCTGTTACACAGAGAAACTGTCTCAAACACCCTGCCAAAACAACAACAACAACAACAACAACACAAAACAAAACAAAATCAAAAAACAACAAACAAACCAAACCAAAACAAAAACAACCCCCCCACATTCATGACCCTCATATCAAAGGTACTAAACATAGATTTATTTCTGTTGTTACTAAGGATGGGGAGAGTCAGATAGTCGGGGGAAGTTACTACAGAGCTTGTTCTGCCAAATACCCCTGTAGAAGATGATTTACTATGGGATTGTTCCTGAGCTTGCTGGGGCCTGGGGTGGGGCTGGCGGAGAGGGAAATGATGATGACAGTCTAAGCTGTGGTTGGTCAGGAATCCAGAGCGGAGAGAGGATGCGCTGACAGGTAGGAACTGAAGGCTTCCCGACATAGTGAGGAACCCGCTTCTGAGCCACAGTGGAAATGAACTTGATGGCTTCATTAGGGGCAGAGAGGCTGAGGCACAAACACAGGAGATGGACAAACCTTTGGTTGAGGCTCATGGGAGCCCGCACTTCCACAACGCTGCAGCTTTATGTAAAAATCTCCATGATGGGTAATTTAAACTTTGTTTTCCACCCATAGTTCCATTTACAAGTTCTTTCTTTAAAAGGGTGCCAGAAGGAAAACATTCCACTGCTTGTTTTGACTGATAGTTCTTAACGACTTTTAACATCTTCAGTATCGACACCCCAGGGTTACGCATGACTCAATTAAAAAGAAAAAATTTCCCCTCATGGCCCTCAACTCTCATCTCAGAAAACATCCCATACAGAAGCAAGCAAGACATTGCTCACTGTCACTGTGAGCTGCTGCTGTCAGGGCAGCAGCATGGGTTCCATTTCAGCCTGGAAGCATCTAGCCTGGGTCATTCAGAGGTTCCACTCACAGTCACCATGACTTCTTATTTGCATGAGAGTCTCAGATCCCTCTTGGTTTCCCACTGTGACTGAGGTACAGCACTGGGTGGTCATGATTCCCTGTCGTCTTGGTTACTACACACTGCAAGTTCAGGGTCGTCTGGACGAAGTGAACAGTGACGGAATCCCAGGAAACTTTTTCTTGCATTATTTATGGGATGCAGACTACTTCTGTTGTTTGGTTTGTTACCATTTTATGTCAAGGCTTGAACAGTTTTATCCAAATCAAGCATCAATCTATCAAGGTGGTTTCTTTCTTTTTTTAAAAAATATTTATTTATTATATTTATTATGTATACAATATTCTGTCTGTGTGTATGCCTGTAGGCCAGAAGAGGCACCAGACCTCATTACAGATGGTTGTGAGCCACCATGTGGTTGCTGGGAATTGAACTCAGGACCTTTGGAAGAGGAGGCAATGCTCTTAACCACTGAGCCATCTCTCCAGCCCAAGGTGGTTTCTTTCCATCAAAAGATAACCAAGCAGCTGACAGTCCCCTTGACTCTTTCTTGTCTTACCATCTTACTGCCATCTTAGTGTGGTCTTCTTTGTTTACCTTGTCTAAAATGTCACTTCCCTGCCTATTATGGATCTTAGATGGTTCCCAAAGGTCTAATCATCTGTGGCAGTACAAGGACAAGGTGGAACTTTCAGTAGGTGGGGCCTAGTGGGAGGAAGTTAGATCACTAGTGTGTTCTAGAACCCGGACTCCTCTTCCTGTTTCTCTCTTTGCTTCCTAATTGCTATGAGGTGAACAGCTTTGTCCACTGTACTTTTCCCACCATGACATTCTGCCTCACTATCTATCCAAAAGCAATAAAGCCAACCAAATGAGTCTGAGAATGTGAGAGCCAATGGAAGTCTCTTCTCCCTATGACTTGACTACCCCAGTGTGTTGGTTACTATCCTATGGCTGAACAGAGATGCCATGAAGAAAGCAGCTCTCATAAAGAAAGCATTTAATTGAGGACTTGCTTACAGTTTTAGAGGGTGAGTCCATGACCATTGTGACGGGAAGCAGACAGACAGGCATGGTGCTGGAGCAGTAGCTGAGAGCTTTACATTCTGATCTGACGGCAGCAAACAGACATGCGTGCGCGCTCACACACACACACACACACACGCACTGGGCCTGGTATGGGCTTTTAAACCATCAAACTAGCGACACACCACCTCCAGCCAGGCCACACCTCCTAATCTTGACAGTCCTCCTCAAGCAGTTTCACTCCCTGGTGACGAGCACTGAGATGGGAGCTTCTTAGAGTTTCCATGGCTGTGAAGAGCAACTCTAATAGCAACTCTAATAAAGAAAACTCTTAATTGGGGCTGGCTTACGGTTTCAGAGGTTCATTCCATTATCATCATCACAACAGACAGTATGGCAGCATTCAGGCACACGTGGTTTTGGAATAGTAGCTGAGAGCCCTGTATCTTGCAAGCAACAGGAAGTCAACTAAGACAATGGTTAGTATCCTAAGCATAGGAAACCTTAAAGCCCGCCCCCACAGTAACACACTTCCTCCAACAAGGTCAAACCCACTCCAACAAAGTCACACCTACTAATAATGCCACTCCCTATGAGCTTTTGGGGGCCAGTGACATTCAGACTACCACAGGGGCCAATCTCATTCAAACCTCACACTCAGATATTTTGTTAGAGCAACAGAAAACGGACCGACAAGCTACTCTCTGCCCATTTTCTGTCTCCTTGGTAGGCCTCTGTTCTCCATCCAGCGATAGTCACAGATCTAAATGTTTCTTGTTCAGCTTGTCTACTGTCTATTGTTCCCACAGGCAGCCTCCTCAGGGAAGGACCTGGGGTCTTAGTCACTGCTGTGTGCTTTGTCTAGTACAGTGCCTGGAACAAAATGGTGTTCGCCATTTGTGGAGAAGTGAATGTTTGTGTGGTTTAGAGGGCAAATCTATGGAGAAGCTCCAATTTCAGTTTCTACACCTTAAGCAGTATTGTATCATATTGTATTGCATGGTATCATATTGTATCGTAGCGCATGGTGTCAGATTTCCAAAACATTTTTAATTTCTGGGGATATTAGGTTAAAAAAAACCTTCAAGAAACATATATTATTAGCCATTTGAAAATAAAATGGATATGAACTAAAAGAGAGGTTTTTTTCTCCTTGCAATTGGTTGTTAATGGAATAATGGAAATGTGTGTTTGCTGGGTATTACACGGCTTTTCAAACTTGAGACTTAAAGTAGACTCTGTTACCCTCAGTTCAGTTTTGGTTCCATGCTGATTTTTCACATGTTAAGTGCACTGAAACCCACCTTCCCAAAGATGGTATGTCACAGAAAGGCCAGCGGGACCTAACGTGGGAGCTATGAGCTTAGCCAGCAGTCTGCACGCTGTCAGGGTTGCTCCCTTCCATCAAGTCTAAAGTGTGCTTCACTGAGGTCAACCTATAACGCTGCCTGCAGAGGCCTTGGTGGGGTCTCGGCCATGTAGAGATGCTTGCACACACATGGACTTTGTAGTTGAGCAAGTTTCTAAGAAAATATTAAATAAGAGTGATATATACCATATTTTTAATGTGCCTATGTAGGAGGAGGAACCCACTTGTTTGTCCCGGCTGCCCAGAACCACACAGAAACTGTATTAATTAAATCACTGCTTGGCCCATTAGTTCTAGCTTCTTATTGGCTAACTCTTATATTAATTAAAACCATTTCTATTAGTCTGTATACTGTCACATGGCAGTGGTTCACCAGCATGTCTGACTCTGGCGGCTCCATGATCTCTCTCTCTCTGACTCTGCCCTTCTTTCTCCCAGCATTCAGTTCTGTCTTCCCCACCTACTTAAGTTCTGCCCTATCAACAGGCCAAGGCAATTTCTTTATTCATTAATCAACAGAAGCAACACACAGACAAAAGGACCTCCCACACCATGCCTATGTTAGATGTACATTCCACCCCATTTTACATGTACATTATTTATTATCGTATGCATTGAGGGATGCTGGTGGTTGCCTGGGAGCCATGGAACACATGTTGAGGTCACAGGACAACTCTGGGGAGTCAGTTCACTCCTTTTCCCCTCTCATGGGTTCTCAAGGTCAAACTCAGATCACCAGGCCTTTGGAGCAGATGCCTTTACCTGCAGAGCCATCCCACGGGAACTGAGCATTCTTGGTGGGGTGGGGCAGTCCTGCAGTTTATTAAAGAAATTTCAAGTCAATATAAAAGTGTTCAGAATAAAAGCCAAATCCCCAATTCCCATCACTAAGTCTGACAGAATATCAAACCACGGGCAAATCCCCAATTCCTATCACTAAATCTGATAGAATATCAAATCATGGGCACATCCCCAATTCCTATCGCTAAGCCTGACAGAATATCAAATCATGGGCAATCCTGTACTAGCCTCACACACATGCCATGATTCCTAGAAATAGACAAAAATCCCAGATTTTTATCTATAATTATTTCAATATGTGAAATATTCTGCTTGGTATTTTTGAGACAGTCTCACTATCTAGCTCAGTCTGGCACGGAACTCATCACACAGCCCAGCTTCTAAATGCTGGGATTGCAGCTGTGCACTGCTATCCTAGCAAATATGTAAACATTAAAGCATCCATTAGTCCTGTGCACATTAGTGTGTGTGCGTATGAGTGCCACGGTGCACCTGTGGAGGTCAGACGTTAACTTGTAGGGGGTCAGTTCTCTCTTTCTACTTTGTGGGTTCCAGGGCTTGGCCTTAGGCCTTCAGGTCTGGCAGCAAGTTCCTTTACCCACTGAGTCATTTTCCTGGCTCTATAAACATGCCACAGAATATAGTTATGTTAGTTTATATAGTAATTAAGGGAGTTAACACAAGTAAGCATTTAGCACAGGAAGCGACAGGGACCCTGAGTGTACCATATGACAGTATATATACTAACGGGCTCCTCTAGGGACGCAGATAGAATGTGTTATGTTAGTGCCCCATGCTCACGGGGAATGGGGTGAGTTCAAATGCGAGTATTGACAAGATGCAGTGAGCCACAGGGTCCTTGGAGGATTGGTTCTGGAGTCTTCCTAACCCGACATCCAAGGATGCCCAAGTCCCTTACATAAGATGGAACACTATTTGCATATGACTCATGAACATCCTCATGACACTTTAAATCACGTGAGTTACTTACAATATTGAATATAATGTAAACAGTTGTTGTCCTGTACTGTTTAATTAATAATAAGAAAGAAGTTTGTACATAGTACAGGTGTAAGTACTCTGCAATCTTATGCTTAATCTGTGTTTGACTGAACCCCCAGGTGAGGAACTTGTGGATGGCTACAGAGGGCAGACTATATTTAGCAAACATTTTCTTCCTAAGGAACCTCTATGTCCTCACCTGCGAGGATAGATGGCATTAAAACGTTTATTTTTTAATAATCAGGAAAACCACATCAAGTTTAATCTGATTTCTTTGCATATAGATCTTTCTCTCTTACCTCCTGGCACTTTGGATATTATGGAGTTTTACTTAATTAAGTGCATCAGAATAGAGATTATCTGTTGTAGCACAATTGTGGAAGAATCAGGAAAGATCTGGATAGGGCAGTGGAGGTCCAGATTTCCTGGAACTACCCTGAATCACGTTGGAATGTGAGGGGCACAGCTGCCAATCTCAATTGCTAAGTCATGACGTTTACAAATGAACACAAGAACAAATAAATGTTTCCTACTAAGGATTTCAGAAGTGTCCCCCTTCCCTCCTGGGGCATGATGAAAATGTAACTAAAACTGTTCCTATCGTGGAGTCTCTGGGCCAGTGGTCCCTCATCTTCGATCCAGTCAAGCTCCCTGGGGAGCGTAGGATGCTGATGAGGACATTAAACATGCCTTTGACTTTCATGCCACAGCAGCAGAATGCTCCATTCACCTTTCTTGAACTTCCTAGCTTTCAAGCTGAAGTGATTATCCATGTCCAACAAGGTTAAACAAATTATTGACCCACGCGTTTGACTTAAGAGTGTGTTCGACTGAACCATCGGAATGAAAGCCTAACTAAATTCTTGGAGTTTTATTTAGCTCATGGGTAAAATTTACAATGAAACCATTAGTAACAGACATCTGTTTCTTTAGGTGACGGGCATGTCTAGTTTGGGCAGTTGCGTTGAAACCTAATCCACACACCCTCTCTATAGTGTTTGTGTTTACTGTCGTCTGTCACTAATTATATCATAATTTCCTTGCCTCCCCTCTTTGCAGATGACCAGTGATTCCATACAAAGGAGTCAAAGAAAATATTCTGGCAGACAGAGTGAGCTGGCTGGAAGTGGCAATATTAACCTCCACGACAACTTCCAGAGGACAGGGACCCAGTCAAATCGCATTTGTCAATAGCTTGTTCAGGGAGCAAACACACACACACACACACACACACACACACACACACACACACTATTGTGTCAAACTGCGGCTACAGAGCGCCTTGTTTTAACAGTCTTTACTGGGTTAATGGACCCACGAGATCACTCTACCCCTGGATATATAGTCAGCGCTGACTCTTTATTAAAGTAAGTTTATAAGTAAGAATATTTGGGAGGGGGAAGGGGGATGATTCACTCACTCCATAGAACTGTTTGGAGTGGTGAATTATATTTTATTGTTTTTATTGAGCTACATATTTTTTCTCTGCTCCCCTCCCTTCTCCCCACCTCCTATACTCTATGATCCCCATGCTCCCAATTTACTCAGGAGATCTTGTCTTTTTCTACCTCCCATGTAGATTAGATTTATGTATACCTGTATCTCTTTGGGTCTTCTTTGTTGTCTAGGTTCTCTGGGGTTGTGAATTGTAGACTTTTTTTTTGTTTGTTTTATGTCTAAAAGCCACTTATGAGTGAGTATATATTATATTTGTCTTTCTGGGTCTGGGTTACCTCACCCACTATGATGTTTTCTAGATCCATCCATTTGCCCACACATTTCAAGATACCCTTATTTTTTTCTGCTGTGTAGTACTCCGCTATGGAGTAGTGAATTAACAAAATTGCTATGGGCCTTTGGGAGACTAACCTGCTTATATGCCCAATTTCTCTCCTTGTTTTTAAGGTAAAGAGGAGCATAACATCCAGCTGCTGAACAAGACACAGGATACTGAAGTGCGGATTAACTAGATGCCAGCCTGAGGAAAACACTGGATTGGAGAAGGAAACAAAAAATATTATGCAGAGGAAAGTAACACGATCCAGCTCATAACGGATCTGGAGTAACAACCTGCACTGGGTACACGGGCAAGCTCAGGACCACAATATCCCTGAGAGCTCATCACTGCTACTTGGCTGAAGCCTGAGGCGGATGCAGGCAATGACATGTGAATGACATCTGAAAGTCTCCTTCATAAACATGGGAAAGCTAAATGTGGCATTTTTTTTTTTTTTTTGCTGCACCTTCGATTCTTTGTTATCCCTTTCCTTGAGAATCCTTCAATATTCAAAGTCTCTCTGGGGCAGGAGGTGTGTGTGTGTGTGTGTGTGTGTGTGTGTGTGTGTGTGTGTGTGTCTATGTGTATCCATACTCAGATTTTTATATGGGTGTTGGGATCTGAACTCAAGTCATGGACACAGACAGACACGGACATGGACAAAGTCCATCACACATTCAGGACAGACTTAGAAAGCTAGTTAGCTTGAAAGAGGACAAGGACACTGGTTCTTACTGACCCCTTGAGATGGTCTTTTCTGTTTATTACCTAAGGAGGGAAGGAGGTAACTGCGGAGGCAGACAGGGTGATGCTCTAGAGACAGGCAGGGTGATGCTCTAGAGGGGCCAAGCATTGCTGACATGGTGTGTGTGATTTAGGACTGCCTGCTGCCTCTCTGGCCGGGAGCAGGTCTCCAGGAGGAGACCAAAGGGGAGGATGATAAAGAAACTTACTTCCAGCCTTTGGACATCATACTACTTTCCACACCCCACCGGTCCAAACACTACCATTGGAATGAGCTACACCTGAGTCATCTAGAACAGGAGCTACCAGGTACATGCATCTGTGAGTCTGGTGTCCAGCAGTCCACATGGACTGGCTGGGAACACTGCACAGGGCCTCTTTCCTGTGTTGCTTCATCCACGAAGGCCACTGCTGAGGTTTTCTTTTTTTTTTCTTCCTGGTTTCTGAGATGGTACCAGATATACGGAAGATGAATTGTAGCTCTTAAAAAATACAGAATAAATGACTCAAAATCACTTCTAACTTTATCTTTCTTTGAAATCTCCAAAGCCACCTAGGGAATCCACAGCATCTACTGCAGTGGTTTGACATCAGCTGTCAACAGTTGCTACCGGTTACCATAGCCACTGACGGTGCGAGCACTGAGCTTCATCTGCAGGGGCCCTCGCAGGGCTCAAAAGAGGGAGTTTTGGAAGAGTTCCCTGAGTCCCTCTTACTTGCTTCAATTTCATAAAGCAGACTACAGAGAAAAGCTGCTGGTCACGTGAGCTTTCTGGTTGCCCAGATTCTGAGGGGAGGAGGAAGCATTTTCCTGTAATTAAACTGTAAGAATTAATTGCAATTAAATTGTGCTGTCTGTGAGAAATTTGTCATTTCTCGGAGTGAGCTGTGAGGATGAAACTGGAATGTGGGTGCGATGAAGACCCGAGCTGTGAAGGTTGTCAGGGCCCTGAGTAGGCTGGAATAGGGGGGCGTTAATTTCTTGCAGTCTTAGGTGTCTGCCTCCCCAACTACCACTACCATGCTCCCCCTCAACCAATGGGTCAGAGGGTTCATCAACCTCCTCGCAAAGATGCTGGGCTGTTAATTAGAGGAGGGCAGGCTCTCAGCGGACCTTTTATTTACCTGCTTGTGTCAGTCACATGGGGTACATAACCACAACATCTTACTCTGCAAAATCCCCACTACACCTTCAAATTGCGCAAATGGCTATATTTTGTAAAGCCCTAAATAGTACAGAAAGGGTAAAGGCTTATTACTCTCCCTAGCCCTTAACGACTCAACCGCCAATGCTGCTCCCTCTTTGGATGCCTTCGTTGGACATTTCTCCTTCATCTCTCTTTCGGGAAGGAGTCTAAGTTCATATGGATCAAGTTTGAGCCTTTTAATTGCTGGTCTGTTGCCACCTTCTTGGGATGTTACCTGTGAGCCTTCCTGTCCCCTTCAAAGAGACAGCATCAAACCCCCTCTGTCACTTGTGGGCAGGGCAGGACCTCCCCATGGCCAATATGACCAGGGCCACCTTAAGCCCTTCAGGGATCTACACACCAATTTCAAACGGCTTCCCCTATGCTACATTTAGCAGAAAACACTTCCACATCTCAAAGTCCCATACAATTGCTATGGAACTCGAAGGGTCAAGAGGCACTTGATTAGTTGAGGCCATACTATTTTTTAGCCCACTGCTTATACATGCTAGGTTGGCTTTACAGTTTATTTTTCATATTTTGGAATCAATCATGTTGTTGGTGACGCTCATATGAAATATCTTCACAGGCTCTGAGCCCATAAATGCCTAGCAGGAAGGTCACCTTCTCCTAGCTAGTCAGCCAGCAAGCATTTGCTGAGTGCTTTAATGTCTCTAAGGCACTGCAGTGGAAGGCTTCATGGCTTCATGAAGTCAGCAGACACTTCAGTGGGCCCAGATAGTGCGCTAAGTGCTGGGAACATAGGTAACAGCTCCCCAGCTCTTGCCTTTGACACCCAGACTCAATCAACCAAGTCTGGGCTCACTGTCAAGTACGTGCAGGCAACTGACAACTAGGAGCCTTTGTTTTACCCAACGGAAGGATGTAGGGTCATGTGGGGTCATGGCAGCTTTTTATTCTGGCAGCAAAGGGTGATGGACAGACTGTCCGATTCTTCCATGCTGTTGACCATAGGTTGGGTCCTTACACCCCTTCTCTTAAGACCACTGTGTTCTTATGATGAACACCATGGTTTTCAGATCAACTCAGACTCTAGGACTAACAGGTGTGTCCAAATGCACCGCTGTTATCCATCTGCAGACAGGCATTTCTGACCCCTACCCACACTCCCATGTGTTCAGACCTCTGTGCAGAGGCAGAAGCTGGGGCAGGGCACCAGATGTGGGCAAGACATAGTTTGTATCTTGAACAGACCACACCGGGAACAGCGGTACTGCTCCATCTGCCGTTCTGAAGGCCCTGCTCTGAGCTTTAAGAATCAACTTGGGGGAGGTGTTTTAGCTCCCCCCAGAGCGTCACACACTTCCACAGACACTTGAGTGACCTGGGAAGGGGATTCAAACATAGATCCTGATTCCAGGCTAGAGAGAGGCCATTGCTTAACTACCCCGAGTACTGGGACCCTCTGCTTAGATGGACTTACTGCCCACAGTTTACGCGCAGCCCTCTATTTTGTTCAGTTCACTGACTGGATTAAGCATCAGGGTTCCCGTTTCACAAATAACCCGGCTCGTAGTGGCGTTTTCATCCAAGACTTTTGATCCGAGTCCCAGATCATTATAGTTCACTCACGGCCCCAGATAATTTTCCTCTCTACTTCTACCCCCCACGTTTTGCGAGGTCATTCATTTGAAGGTCAAAGTCCTGTGCTTGTTTCATCCTTTGCAAACCTCTGAGCCCATAGCCCAGCCTTTCTTCTCGTGCTGTGTGGCAGCTGAGGAAGAAAATGATTTTCCAAAGCATTCTAGGAAGAGCTTGCCGCCGTGATTTGGTCCGAAATGATTATGCCCACTGGGAAGCCAACCCTGCTTGGGAACACGGCTCGGAGTCCTTATACATCCGGCTTTGCACAAGGTTTGCAATCAGAGGGTTTCAGAAAGGGCAGAGCCTGAGTACCAATTCGGTATATTTGTTTCCTTGTGCCCAGTGAAAACAAAGGACCCTTGGGCCAGCAGGCTGGAGTGCCGTGTTTCTATGGAAACACAAACCCATGTGGTTGAAGGATACAGCCTTAGTCTAGAGCTTTGCCAGCCCCACCGCTGATCCTAACAGGAAGGCTGTGAGGTGACAGTACCCCATTTCCAGGATGAGGAAAGTGAGGCTCAGCTGCACTGGTCTTATGTGGAGCCCCTCACTAAGGCCCTGAAAATGAGTCAGTGCAGGCCAAGGGGGAGAGGCCTAAAGCCACCTCAAGCTGCATCCTGATTTGGGGAGGCAGCATGGATCCTCTCGTACCCTGTGGCTGTCCCTTTGGAACACCTGGTTTTGGATGGAGTTAGGCCACCATTCTTTGCTATTTTTTTTATTAAAGAATTCAGAAAAAAGTTGAAATAACTTCTGTACCCCTTTCACATACTTATGAATAATTAACTTAGCCCCATTTATGTGAGCATGTGTAAGATAGCTTTTTATTTTTTTCTGGAGCATTTGAAATTATAACCTTTCACACTGGTGTTGGCACAAAGGCATTTTCTTATCTAACCATAGTTCAGTGATGGTCAAAACTTTTTTTCTTTTTTGAGACAGAGTTTCTCTGTGTAGCCCTCAATGTCCTGGAACTCACTCTGTAGACTAGGTTGGCCTCAACTCAGAGATCTGCCTGCCTCTGCCTTCTGAGAGCTAGGATTAAAGGCATGTGCCACCATGCCCAGCAAGATTTATAGTGACAATATTTCCTCTCTAAGGAACATTCTTTATCCCAATCCAACCAGCTGTGTCTATAATAGCCTTTCCAGAAACTTACTGTCTGAGCCAGGGTTCAAGGCCAACATAGGGCAGGGCTTGGTGTGCCCTGTTAACCTCCTGTAATCTGGTGTGGTTGCCAGGTTGATGCTGGCTCTCCCGAATCACTCACTGTAGCATACAGGCTGTCATAGAAGTCCTTGGGAACCTGTGGAATGAGTGGCTACCATGCCATTCTCTGTCACATCTGTCCAGCTCTGGTGACACTGAGATGCATTGTGCAGAAGAGGGATGCTGGGAAGGCACCTGCTCAGAGCAGCTGAACCCCGCTACAAATGCAAGCACATCTGGATGGCCCAGACAGTTTGGAATACAGCACTTCCTCTAGGCACCTGTGAATTTCAGAGTCATTCAGAGAAGGAGTTGTGCTCTCAACAAACATACACTACCCCCAACCCTTATGCATGAAAATCTGTGACCACTGCCAGGTTGCTCTCATTGGTTTTCTTTCTGGAATCCTTGGTGGAGGTCCAGAAGCTTCCATATCAAAGACTGCATGACGGATTAGCGGCTCATGACCTGACAAGATTCTTATGGATTTCGGGGCAGTGAAGGCTGTCTGCTAGATCACTTGGCTCACTAAAGTGCTGCCTGCAGTGACCTCCCCTATGTGAGGAAGGGAAGTGCCACATGCAGTGTGGATTCTGGAGCTAATGAAGCCAGCTTTCCATTCTCCGCAACCTCTGAGGTTGCTCTGCATCGTCCTGAGCAGACACGATGCAGGGTGACCCTGAAGATCTTCTTTCCATTCCTCCTGGGCCAGCCCTGCAGGAAGCCGTGTCCTGCTAGCTGAACAGCTTTTGACATGGGAGAGTTACCCGAGTGAACCCATCAGGGACACCACGGTCTAGCAGAATGTTTGATAACTTTACCGGATTTGAATGCCACAGGCTAATACTAAATTTTTATTTCTAGTGAACTAGCATCCTGTGTAGTAGTTGCTAGTCAGAAGTCTGGGCCTTTGAATCCCCTTTCAGCTGCTGTCACTGGTGAGGTTCAAACTAAGGGACAAGAAGGCTGAGTGTCACATCCACCAAGTGTCTGACTACACTATTGTATTAGTGCTGGGCCAAGTTCTGCTAAGATAACTAAGTACACACCACAGTTAAGCCCATGCAATGTGCATGGTATGGACCCACAGTGCTTTATTTATAATTTAAAAAGGCAAAATTCTTAAAACAAAAACAAAACAAAGCCCTGCGAGGTTTTTGTACCTCACTAGGCAGCAGCAGCAGCCTCCGCGATGCTATTTTTTGCCTTTATTTATCTCACTCGGTGTACATTGTTACACTTCTCACTACAGAAATATTTATTTGTTTGATTATGGAGTGCTGTTCCAGAACCTGCCCCCACTAGGGGGTTTACAGAATATGCAAATACTGCATTAGCTTTTCAGAATATGGAAAGTTCAGAATTACACATCTGACCTTGTGAGTTTTAAATAAGGGACGATGGAAGAAATAAATAAGCTGGAAATCAAATTATCATTCTCCTGGCCAGTAGACTAGGCACGAGCCAAAAGATGCGTCCACTCTGCACTTGGGTGATCTGTAGGTATATAACACACATTAGATTTCAAACACTTAATATGCAAAGTTGATGTAAACCTATCAGGTGACGTGCTGGAAGAACGTTTTGTATACAATAGGACTAATCAGTTACTAAAGATTAATTTCACCTGCCTTAACTCATTTTTGATGTGACTGTTAGAAAATTTAAAATTATATTTGTGACTCTTATTTCACTGCTCTTGAGAATAACTAGCCAAGGTACTTACTTTCCAGCTAGGGACATGGGTGAGAACTTGCCTGGCGCATGTGGGCAGTTGGGTGTGAAACTGGAGTTGTCACCTGACTCCTGGCTTACCGTCTATTCTATTTCCTTCCAAACGATCTA